TGCGAGCAATTATTTATTGTGACATCGTCAAAATGCCGGGCTGCAATTTATAATCATATTTTTTAAAATTTATTTAAATATGCTATAGGCTTAGCGGAGCACGCAGCGTTACTCCGGCGCCTGCAAGTAGGCTGATTTTGGGGGGTTTATATCTCGCGAAGTGTCTCAGAAGTATGGTTCTTTTGACTTTCTTATTATATTATTGCACCACTTTAGGAAATGCCTATATAGGTGATAAAACTAATGCAGCTGTTAATTTGATTAGTTTCAATCATTACAACAAATGATAAGAATGCTCTTTATTTTAAACCATTTTGATCAAGTTACATAAACTTATCATTACATAATCATCCGAAGTTATTATTAGACTGGACTTTCACTCGTTTTATGTAATTTTAATTCAATGTCGTATAAAACTAACTGCTCGTAAAAGTTTAAAACTTGCACTATTCAAAAAGCCTCAAAATGGCGGCTTCCTAAGTAAGATAACGTTCGTGTTCAAATTTGACCTTGATTTCATCGCTGAAAGATGTGACCTCTACGAACACTTTTAGACATGGATATATTTCCGCCATTTTAAAACAGCTGACAGTAGGAAGTTGGGTAAATTTTTGGGAAAACTAGAAAAATCCATATTATAGCAACTTTCAAAACGACTTACTCTCAAGCTTGTACTTTTGTAAGAGCGAGCGTATTACACATCAAGGCCTTTTTTCATACCCATTGTGGGTTCGACCAGGCTCACAAAAGGATCGCATATCCTCACGTAAAGATATTAAAAGCAGTAGTAATAGTAGTAACAATAAGCGCAATGTTACTTCAAAATAAAATTGTATAAATCATCATCTACTGTATATATATTGAAATAAATATAACGAACAAAAGTTCACAAAGCACCACAACTATTTTTTATTTTCATGAAAAATAGCCTATACACAATCATGTCTAATAGAAGAGTAATGATACAGCAGCTGCATGTGGAATGCCTCGATGAAAATGGGAAGGAGAGAGTTTACAGAAAATCATTTACAATATTTCCATACAGACTAAAACACAACAGTTTTCAAATGAATATGGCATTTTGTACTTTAAGGAAAAAGTATTTTTCCTACTTAACATCCTGCTAAAATATATTCCCAACTATGTGGTTATGGATAATAGCTTACTATAAAAAGATGAAGTATTGTATTTCTAGTGATTTCTCTATCCAGCAGGTGTATCAAAGGTGCATTTGAATTGCATTCTGCAAAATTTTAAGTATGATACTCTGATCCTTAAACTGCATCATACAAGATCAATTATTCAAATTATAAAACTGATCAGTTGTAACAAGTTTCATCACTTTTTTAGACAATAGTTTTTATCTTGCATTATTTCTTACCAATATTAGCATACATACAAATATTCACATTTATAAAAACTTTGTTATAACAATTAAGAGGTTTTAAGAAATAATAATAATAATAAAAAAAATACAATTTTTAAATAAAATTATCCAAATTAATAGCAACATTTTTTAATTATTCAACAGTAATAACTTAACAAATGTTTAAAAAAAGTATGGAATGCTCTAGGGCTGTCAAAAGATGCATTTAGAATTAGAAATTTTAACAGTGAAGCATGCTTTAGCAATACTTTCTGAAAAACAATTTTAACAAATTCTCTGATATTAATTAATTCATGAAATGAACTTTTTAAATTTGTAAACAAATATATAATAGATTTAATGATCATATTATCATATTTAGAGATGTGATACAATAACTAACAGCTACATAAATAATCAAGTATAAATTTGAAAATAATTTTTCCAGCAAAAATTTTTAAAAGGTGCCCAATGGATTCCAATACTTCTAACACAAACATGTAGTTTGATCATCTAGAAAAAATTTTATATAATGCATTTGTTACAAATATAATATAAAATAAAAATCAACATTAATTGAAAATAAATTTGATTAATGGCAGAAACAAATATAATATTAAGATATTTCATATCAAATTTGCATTCACACAATGAACTACAAAATCAGTTTGTGAAAGTATAAACTGTATTCATATACTTGACTGCAATTACAGTATAGCAAAGACATTTATAATTTTTGCCAATGGTGGAATGTATCAAACTGCTATCTTTGATTAGCATATTAATTCACATGAAAATATCAGTCACATGTTACTATCCAAATTTGATGGTATTGCATATACAATTTATATAATCAGTTTTTTCAATTTTATATATATAATAAGTGGTTCCAAATTCAGGATCTTCAGGGCATTTCAAATACTGCAACTACTACAATGAAGGAAATATTTATTCATATATGTCCTTGTTATAAAACAATGCTTGTTTAAAGCAGTAATGGACAAATTTATTTCAATGTTTCAATGCTACTGTAGAGTATGATTGATCAAACTATATAATGAATATTTGATATATATAAGATTTGAGATTCACTTTAAGATTAGAAGAGTCCTAAAATTTTGATATATACAACAATTTCTTGTACTATAGAAATGCAAATGCAATAGTTAAACAAATGAATAACAATTAAATAGTTAATACAATTTGTCCACCACTGCATTAAAGAATGACACTATTGAAAATATAAACAACTTATTTGAAATTTATAGAATACTTATTTAAAACTTAATAAATATTTTAATGTCATCATTTAAATTAAATATATTAAATAATACAAATAATCATAATATCTGAGATTTTTGTTAAATGCACATATTGAGCTAATAGTTGTAAGACAATCCAGAAGCATCTATTGCTTTTAGATATTTTGAAATCAGTTTGGTACAATGATGAACATCATCTCATACTTTATAGAAGAAAAAATTGAAAGCACTAACAATTATTGATATGTCTGTATTATTTGTATCTTTCACAGACTTTTCAAGAGTGATGACAACACAAAATCTATTTATCAATTACTTCACCATAGTAACAGCATCATATGACATACACCATCACAATTAATAATTACTAAGTTCTAATAATATCCACTGTCAAAACATGGATATATCACTTGAGCAATTGGGTACATTGTAATAGTATAAATTTTTATTAACCACAAATTCTTTTATTGTGCACAATATGCCCACAATTTTGCAAAATTTAATTTCTACCACTTAAATTTATATTAAAAATTAAATATAAACCATATTTAGTAATAGAATTGTTTATTGACAATTTAAATAATTATAAATTAATTTGAAATTCCATCTTATAATAGTATAATATGGAGCATATTTCTGATATAAATACCAATATAACAAATTTTACAAATTAATTTAAATTACAGTATATTTTTTTTGATGATTAGGAGTGCTAATGATTGATACCAATATCCAACCTTTATCGAATAATTGATTTCATTACTTATTATTAATACTGATCGTTGAACTAAATATCAATAGTCATTTAAATCAATCCTGAAAGTTAAAAAAATCCATAAACTTAATAAAATATACTATTTTATTGCAAATTACTTAAACATTATTTTAAGTTTTGAAGATTTAATGTATATGCTATTTTAAATGTTAGAATTGAATCAAAATACTAATATAAATTTTTAAATAGAAAAGTAGAAATTATTTTCAATATAAATACTTTGAATCTAATATTTTAAGTGTTGATGACAAATTCTGAACATATTTTATGGGTTACTTTAATGGAATTAATTCTAGTTTAAAATAAAAGCATTATGCTGATATAAAGATGCATTTTTCAATAAACAGCCAAATATGCTAAGATTTCATGATAAGCAACAGTAATGTGTTAAAGTTTGTGTTGCTTTAGTTTTTAATTTATGAAAAATGTAGAAAATAAATATTAAAATTGTTGATATAATTAAAGTTTCTTATCTTTTCAAATGAAACATATTGTTTTTTCATAACTGAATTGTTTTTACTCGTTTATTTCAGTATCTTGATATGCATGAAAAATATATTTCATAGAAATATAAATGAAAATTATCTAACATTAATTACTTGAAATAAAGATTACATTTATAAATGTCCTTCTTACATTTTACAAAAACCAAAAACTTTAATTTTTTAAAATTAATGAGTGTCTAAACAGATAATGTTCTAACATTAATGATTATAATAATTACAAAAACAATTTACAAAAAATCATGTAAAATCAAATATAAAGAAATGCTTTGCTTTATCATTGAAATGTTAATATTTTATTTTAAATATTTGATATATAGAAATTTCAAAATAAGTCATAAAATTATCATTTTATTTATTTATAATTTTGAAATGTTATAATGAATAAATTTAATTAATAACTATGCTTTCACATTATATAATTTATTATTTCAAGTATCTAACTTAGATAGCAATTTAAAAAGTTTTAAACAGTGTTTGTACAAATCTTATATATGATTGGAACTGGAAGAAAGTGCTAAGCTATTTTGAAATAATGTTGATGCAGTAAATGCAATAATAAATAAGCAAATATTTCATTTTGCTTAAACAAAATTGTATATTATTAAAGTTTAAAAGTTAATCTTTAACGTTTTAAATTATAAATTTGACCTTATAACAAAAACAAAATAACACTTAACATCTAGTTTTAGCAAATTTGTAATAAAAAATGTTTTACTCTAAAAAAAGCACTTTTGTTAATTATAAATAATTTGATAGTTTTGAATAAAGATGAACCTTAATTCAAACCAATTTCAGTATTAATGAAAATAATTAAAATAAATATAAAGTGTTGTTTCTAAAAATATTATTATTGAAATAAATTTTGCTAACTTTAGATGAAATTTATACTAGAATTTTTTTTAACAATGTTTTCTTTTGATATCTGCCAATAATTAATTTTGGCAGATTGTAACTGCTCCATATTATTTTATTATAAAACATCCAAATTAATATTTCTTATTTAAATCTTGTATTCAAATACAAAATTAGTTATCAATAATAACTAATTTTCAAAAATAAAATATAAAATCATAATTTCAAATTATGAAATCGCATATTATATTAACAAATAATTTTTTAATATTAACCACTAGACCATGGCTAAATGTTCTCACAATTATTACATTTACATTACAAAGCAGAAATTATGTTCTGAGAACATCTAATTTTTGAAAAATTCACAAGAAAATATTGCAGAATTGTGCTATTTATATGGCACAATTTATTGGAAGCAGAATCATTCAATATTGTGTTCATCATAAATAAAACATGAGGGAAGCACAACATATTGCTGCTGTATGAATTTGGCATGGAGTGAATGCAAATAAATATTCTTAAATGATGAGCATACATATTAGATCCTGCACTTCTACCTATAATTTTATCAATATAATGTACATCAATGACTATATACTGTGTATATTTATTGTATATTTATATTTATATGTTCCAAAGCCATTGATTCATAACAGTAGTGGAAAAAAAAAAATAAACAATGAAAGTTTCATTTACTTTGATTCTGCTTGTAGCATAATGAAAAATTTTTTCCCTTATTAAATTAAAACAATAACAAAATATGAAGCTACTAATGAACATAATTAAAATAAAAACATAAATAATGAATGAATGAATGAATAAAACTGTAATGAAAATATGATGAAAGTATGGTTGAAATCTTTAAAAGACATTTATAACAGCAATGTAAGATTCAATTATACAAATCACACAATTAGCACTGCACTAGTTACATTAATGATGACTATAACTGACAAATTAGTTTTCTTGTCTAATAACAGAAAAACCTAAGCTGCCTTTGTCAATTCATTCTTTGGTAATCTAGCTTGATTTAAGTCCAATTTGATGTTCTTACTTCCAGAATATATTTTAAATGATAATCTCACAGCAACATACTCTGTCTCCTATTGCGTCCATTACCTATATATTTAAGATAAATGAATTTGAATAAATAAAAACATAACATTCTCTATATCAATAATATTAGTTAAAGTATCAACAGAATTAACATTAAATCTGAATAAAACTGATGATTTTTTTAAAGAAAAACTCTATTATTTCAATAAATTACCACATCCCAATTCTATAACTTGTATAGATTATAATAGAAAATTTATACAAATTAAAATTACTAATAATTTATCAATTAAAAAAATAGTAATATAGACAGTTCTCTGATAATAACTGAAATATACACTATATTTTCTAGAATGCAATAGAGCAGCTATAGAATAAAATGTTATTTTCTACAGTTAGAAGTTTGTAGGCCTTTACTAAACTAAACTATCTCAACCAATCATTGTATGTTAAAATAGATTAAAATAAAATTTATTTTAGTCTGAATCTTGACAGGATTCTAAAGCATCATCTAATTTCATGAGTGCTCTTAGCTTGAGTTTTTTCTGATAGTTTTATATATATATAAAACTATGTTTGTGTATATATATATATAAAACTAATGTTTATATATATATAAAAACATTAAAACTGCTGGATACAAAACTTTTTATAATTAGTGTCTTTTTTAAATTATGTAACTAACTTATATAAACAAAATTCAAGTGAAAAGTCATCATTGAAAAAGTACGTTAACAAATATCTAATATATTTTAAAATATATAACAGTTAATACCTGAGTTTGGGAATGCTGATGGCCTGCTTCCTGGATCTCTGCTAAGTTGAATACCAGGAATAATAAATATTGATGCAGCTTTAAAAAAATTAAATAAAAATAATTATAATCAAATATAAAAAATTATAAACATAAAATTCTACGTCCGTAATTTTATAAAATAATAAAATATAAAATTATATTTAATGTAGTAAATATATTTTATATAGTTTATATTTAAAATAGTAAAATATAAAATTATATTTAATGAAATTAATTTTATTATTAATATATTAAGATACATGTTTCAAACTAGTTATAAAAGTCAAATTTATACTTTAATAAAATCATGTTTTTAAATGGAAAACAAAAATTAATAAGTAATATTTTATTCTTTCACCAAAGAATAAAACATTGATTTACCAGTACCAAAGATTTACTTGTGTGATTTTTAACAAAAATGTTTAATTTAAATAAGATAAAATCATAAGTATCTTTAAATAAAAAATACAGATTTTATTGAACATTATTATTATGACTGAAAATCAATAGTAACATTTTTCATAATCTTATTATTTACTATTTGCAAATGTTAAGCTGTAAAGTTAAAAAATTGAATTTTTTGATGAATAATAATATAACATTTTTACAAAACAATAAAAATGACTAACCTAGAAATCATATGAAATGCAAAGAGTAATTACACATAGACTTGAATAATCTATGACAAACATACAAATAACATAGAAACCTATGCTTGGGTATGTGTAAACTATTTTGCATTTTGACATTACAGTAGATCCCCCTATAAAACCGTTTCCTATAGTTATGATTCCTATAAAAATTGTGGCAGTATCCGTAAACAATGGTAAAAATAACTCCTATAATACGTAAAACGTCATCGGGCAGCCGAACTACTTTCCCGCCATCCGTAGCGCCACGCTACGGACGTTTAGGCGNTAAAGTTAAAAAATTGAATTTTTTGATGAATAATAATATAACATTTTTACAAAACAATAAAAATGACTAACCTAGAAATCATATGAAATGCAAAGAGTAATTACACATAGACTTGAATAATCTATGACAAACATACAAATAACATAGAAACCTATGCTTGGGTATGTGTAAACTATTTTGCATTTTGACATTACATATATTTGGTAAATATACACACTGTGTATTTATAAAATATACCAACATTCATTGCATGTTTAAAAAACATCACAGAACTTTAGAGAACAGTATATCTTCAATTTCATAATGCTTTATTAAAATAAATCAAATCTACTGATACATAAGGTGAGGAATTTTTCAAGTAGATCCCCTTCTAAGCCCTCTCTAGTTTTGTAAATAAACTATCCAATAGATTAAACAGCACAAAATATGATTACATCATCTACATATTACATTTTATTTACATGAAATAAATAAAAATTTATGTACTTCTACATAAATACAACTAAATCACCTTTTAAAAACTACATATACTCTACAGACACACACACTGGCTTAAAGAAATGCAAAACTCTTCATATAAAAAAATCAGATGAAGACATCATTGAGTCTACAAATAAGGCAAAGTTTATCAGTAGTTAGGATTCTAACAGGCTAAGCTTACAAAATATGAAAAAAATTAAGAAAAGACTAACAAAAGAATATAACAAGTCAAAAAGTTTGTACTAAAAAAACACAGATGTCAAACACAGAATTAAACTGATAGAGATATATAACTTTCTGGAAATTTCTTTGAAATTATAAAATATTACACAAAGAACAACTCTGATTAACAAAATATTACACAAAATTTGCCACTAAAAGATTGAGAGACTTTAAAGCTCTGTAAAGAGGGAAACAATCATCATCTACAAACATTGTTTTACTACAAAACAAATATCACAATTATGTAAAGTAAAACCTTTAGCCAATTTGAACAACACACATTAAACCTATGTAAAACCAATCCAGGAATAACACAAAATACATAAAAAGAAAGACATTATGAAATAGAAAATTCTTGGGAATTCCATAATCCTGCATATGCAGGTGTATAGGAATGCTACTGGTAAATTCAACAATCCAAAACTATGGTTTAATTATGTTTATTTTGGTTGATTACATACATAACTAGATGCATTTCGAGCTGACTTAAATTTTACAGCCCCTCATCAGTAACTAAAATTAAGAGCTAGGCATAAGTACAAAATTAATTAAACATAAAAATGATATTATTATTATATTCAGTTTTATTATCTTACTTTGTATTGAATCAACAATCTTATTAAAAATGAAAGTACATGAACATGACATGGAACATATTTCACCGATATATACAGCAAACGATATGGACTGATACAGTATATTAAATTATGGATGTTTTCTGCAATTGAAACAATTGCAGAAAACCTTGTAAATATTTAAAGTTATATACTTCAATTACAAATCATTCTTAAATCAAAAATTAAAGAAAATGTCACAATCATTCCCAAAACAATAAGACACATCAAAATGCAAAGCTTTTCTCATATATAGATTTGTTATTTGATTATATCTATTTAAATAATGTAATGTCAAAAGCTTGCATTCAAATACAAATTATTAGACATTCACATACCATACTACAGTATCAATATATACCACTGACAGTATTAGGAAGCAACACACACAAAAAATATAGTTTGAAAAAGCTATAGGTTATATAATAAATTATAGATAAAACATGCTCAAAAGAGGGTTCAAATGTAACTGAAAATGGTGGCTTAAAACATGAATGATAGCACAAGGTCACTTTTCATATTGATCACAACATAATTCTAGACGCAAGTCACTGAAAATGAGAGGCTCTGTATAAGTCTAAACCCTCACTAAAATTTGCATTAAAATATTTTTTGAAAGAAAAAAAGGGGAGCTAAAAATAAAATTTTCTTTTGTATCAAAAATACAATGCAAACATAATCAATAGAAGAGTGTAAGTCCTAAAATCAATTATCTCCAATTGGGGATCGAATTAAACTTTGATTTTGACCTCTCCTGTGATCTAAGCCAAGATCTGATTACATTTATAGTCTGTCTATGAAAATAATTGACTTGAGATCACTGTCACATGTGATGTAGCTTCAATTAAACCAATCATTATATTCCCTAATGACGTCAGCACTTTTCACTTAGAGTGCATTTGGAAATTGTAACCAGCATTATCAGTAACACTAATTACAATTTCCAAACATGCCCTTAATATGTCAGGCAATGTGTGAATTTTATTTTATTTTCTCTTACTAGATGGCAGAATGACTTTTCCATTAATTGTGGTAATTTTTTATAGCATGTATTAACTGTAAAGAACCATGCATTTAACAACTACTATAATAAACTTTCTCATATTCCAATACCAGAACCTAAAACTTTCATAACACCTTTATAATGATGGTGACATGTTTAACAAATGAGGAAGAAACCAGAAATAACTTGCCACAACTAAGCTATCAATGGCTGATGCTCATTGGTTAATATCCAAGTTGATTCTTTCCATAGACAGACTATAGTAACAAGTAATCAACCACTTAGAAAGCAAGAATGAGGAAAAGCGTCCAATTAGAATGGATGATCAAGGACAAGAATGAATAATTTCAGAATTTCAATGCTTCTTCTCCCAAAAATTCCAAGTATCAGACCAATTTTTGTGTGTGTATGTCTCACACCCATCTTCATCTCAGTCTCCCTTCCTCAGATCAACATCTTCCCATCACCGAAAGTCAACTGCATCATCCCTGAGCCATCGAGATGTTGAAGGAATTCTCATTTGCAAATCAGGGACACTCCTTCTTTTGGGATTATCTCAGAAAGAAGAGGAAAACCCAGAGGTTGCTGTCGACTTAGAACTTTTAAGATAGCAGAAAACTTGTAAGAAAACTCATTTTGTGTCAAATAAATGGTTAGTTCTAACCATAGAGTCTGTCTCAGTACTGATCGCACCCACATACGATCCTTGTCAGTCTTGACTATCGCATTACTGTCACAATTCTTACAAAAGTGAATGAAGTTTAAGTTGTTAATAATGGTGACTTAAACCTTAGCTCACTTTCAGCTTGTCGCTTAACATATGTAGGTAAAATCTAATGGAGTAAACAATAAACAACATGGAGGACATGGATTTAAGAGACATTTTTAATGTTACACAAATTAAATAAAAATGATAATCTGTAATGTACTGTACTTGTGAGGATAAGATAAAACAACAACAACAACAACCTCAAAAAATATATTTCACTCAGAATCAAAAAAATTTAGATGATGATGAAATCCAAATAAGATATCGATCAAACAGCGTTCCCCAAACTTTGATTGTTGACCCCTTCTAGAATTCCTCAACCTTTTACTCCTCTTGCTTTTTTAAAAATAGCCAATAATAATAATAATAATAATTCTCCCGTGGTCACCACTTGGTGGGAGAGTCCAGTAATTTTACTGAACCATAGAGCAATGCAGGCTGGAGCACAAGCTTCTGGTAGGGACACTCATGCCAGTAAGGTCTATGGGGAAAAATGAAGCTAAGAGTGACCACACCCACATTCTATGGAGATAATTATCATGGTAGTAATCAGATCAAAGTGTGATACTGGCTCAGACGTCGCCTGGGTTAACAAGGTCCGCGTTTGTGGGTTAGGCAGAGGCTCACGTTCGAAAAATAGGCCACAGTCTCCCTTGGTTACCTGTGGCGAAAGCAGCGCCGGCCCAAGCATGGCTACTGCAATGCCCTCAACAGATGTGAGGAATCAACCTAGCCTTGGTGTTTCTGTGGCAATGCATCCACAGACCACAAAGGCTGGAAAACCANATTAAATTATGGATGTTTTCTGCAATTGAAACAATTGCAGAAAACATTGTAAATATTTAAAGTTATATACTTCAAATCATTCTTAAATCAAAAATTAAAGAAAATGTCACAATCATTCCCAAAACAATAAGACACATCAAAATGCAAAGCTTTTCTCATATATAGATTTGTTATTTGATTATATCTATTTAAATAATGTAATGTCAAAAGCTTGCATTCAAATACAAATTATTAGACATTCACATACCATACTACAGTATAAATA